ATCTCTTAGTATCTTTTCTTTGCTTTTTGTGTTTTTTTCGAGACAGGGTTTCTTTGCCTTGGCTGTCCTGGACTTACTTTGTAGACCAGGCTGGCCTCAAACAAAGATCTGCCTGCCTCTGCCTCCCAGTGTTGGGATTACAGGCATGTGCCACCATGCCTGGCCTTGGAATAGCTTGTCTGTTTTCTGATTTGCCTTTTTTTTTTTTTTTTTTTTTTTTTTTAAGACAAGAGTCTCACTATATACCCCTGGCTGGCCTTGCACTCAGTGCTGGGATTAATGAAACTCATGAACCGCCATGCTGGACTTCCTACTTTCTTGTTGTTGTTATGTATTTTGGAGCTCTGTGAGAAGGTGCGTGAATGCTTAGGGTTTTTTTTTTTTTTTATATTGGTGACTTTTTTATTGTGAAATTGTTCTTTCTGTTTTTGGATTCCCTGTCTCTCCCCTCAGGGCTTAATGCATGTGCTCTGCTATTAAGCTATATCCTCATCCCTGTGAAATCACCCCCTTACTCCTGGTGATATTTGCCCTGAATCTGCTGTTTGGTATTGATATAGACACTCTGACTTTTCTTTTATTGATATGTGCTTTTCTCCATCCTTTTAATCAATTTGTGCTTTGATATTAGAAGCATATTTTTTTCTAAAGTGTCTGTGTGTTTCTGTGTATGAGATGCTAGAGAGAGATGAAAGAAACAGAAGTGGGGCATGTGCATGCCACAGGGCTTGTGTGGAGAGCAGAGGACGCATCTGAGGAGTTGGTTCTCTTTCACCTTCACAGTAGTGCCAGGGTTCAAACTCAGGTGGCGAGTGCCTCTTTGCCTGCAGAACCAGCTCAGTGCCCTAAGCATGGAATTGTAACAGGGGCTGCCACGGAGTCCGCCCCGCCATCATCTCAAGTATGTCTGGCTCCTCAGCTGCCTTGAAGACTTTCTGCTTTATCACCGGTCTCACTTCATTTGATTTTAATATGCTTTGTTGGGTTTTTCTTTGTGTCTCTTGTGTTTGTGGTGTTAAGCTTTTTGGATTTGTAGATTATTGACTTCATCCTTTGTGGGGCATTTTCTGCTGTTCTTTCTTCAGGTATTTTACAGTCCTTGCCATCACTCTTAGGGAAACTCCAGAGATACGTAGGAGTGCTAAAAACTGTCCTGGCTTCCTGATGCACTGCTCTGTCTTTGTTTTCCAGTTTCTCTGTTTTGCTTGCTTGGGTATGTTTCCTAGTGTTCTGACCTCCTCTGCGATGCCTCGAGTGCCCTTAGCCCCTCACTGCAGTTTCTATCACCCACACTCTGGTCTGCAGGTCTAGATGTCTGGGCTCTGTGTGTCCTACGCCCACGTTCCTAGCGCTGTTGATGTGCATACTGATTCTAGCCTCTGTCGATTTTGAGTTAGTTTTAGTTGACAGATTTCTTTAATAGACCATATCATTTTTTTTCTTTTGTAAACTTGGCAAGTTCTGGTTGGAAGCTAGACATTGTGATTTTTACTTTAATTTTTTATCTTTTTTTAGTTTTTTTATGAACATTTTGTTCTCAGCAGTTACTTGAAAACCAGTTTAATCTTTTTAGGGAGACATGTTCTCATTCTCTCTTCTTTTTCCCCTCCCTCCCTCTATATTTTCCTTTTTCTTCCTTTCTTTCCTTTCTTACTGTTGGTTTGGAGTCAGTTGGCCTTAAACTTGCTATATAATCCAGGTTGGCCTTAGCCTCACCATGTAGCCAAGAATGATCTTGAATCCTCCTGTTCTGCCTCCCAACTGCCGCCATGCCTGGCTTCAGGTCTCCTCCAAGATTGGCTAGTAAAAACCAGAGCAATGTCCCCCCTTCTCCACTGTCGTATGATCCTTTTGTGTACTGTACTAAACATCCAGGGTTTTCCAGGCCGGCTGTCACTTGGTAGTGTGAATGCTGACCATTCCTCTTTCCAGTCTCTCCAGATGCCTCTCCCCCACCCTGTTAGATGACTTTCTCATATTCTGGTGGGCACTCAGCTAGGTACTTGAGGAGGATCCTCTGCCAGTGTCCAGAGCTCGCTCTCTCTCTCTCTCTCTCTCTCTCTCTCTCTCTCTGCTGCCTTCTCCCCAGGACACTGCCTCCTCCAGGCTCTGGTCACTCTAGTCTCACTTTGGAGTTCTCATGGGAAATCGGCTGTTCTCTGTTTGTGTCCCTCTCTTGTTCTGTGACTTGGATTTGTTCTTTCCCAGGCTCTGTATTTGACCCAACTGGCCTTGAAAACCCCAGAGATCTACCCGCCTCTGCCTCCTGCATGCTGGTGCTGAAGGTAAATGCCACCATATCTGAATTAGATTGTTTAATTAACTGTTTTGAAAGCTGTTGCTTTCGTTTTGGTTTTGGTTTTCTATTTTCAGTTCTAGCCAGTATGGCTCACTTAGTCCTTGATAATCCATCTTGGTTGGAATCAAAAGTGTTACTTCTTTAATTTTGAGTTAACAGAATTATGACTGTTTAAAAATAAATACTATGGGGGTTGGAAAGATTCCTCAGTGGTTACGAGCACTGAATGTTCTTCCAAAGGACCTGATTCAAGTTCCAGCACCACATGGCAGCTCACAACTGTCTGTAATTCCAGTTCCACAGGATCTGACACCATCACACAGACATACGTGCAGGCAGAACCCCAATGTACATAAAACAAAATAAATAATTAAATTATAAAAATAAAAAATGAATAGTATGAAGAATGGTCTTTGACTACCAAGAGATTGTACCTGTTTTCCATTGTCTAGTGCCTACTCTAGAAACTGATAACAGTAGAACAGTTGGGAAGAGATAATTACATAGGAATGCTCTAACACTTAGTGCAGGCCATTCTCCGTTACTGAATGTAATTCGGGTGTAATCTTTAGGATTCTCAGGGGCTGCCATTAATCTTCACCTGTTTTAAAATAGTATTAGCTAGGTTCAGTGATGAATGTCTATTCCGGCTTGAAGATAGCCAAGGTAGGAGGCTCACCTAAGCCAGGCGTTCAAGGTAAGACCCGATGTCAAGAAATAATAATAGACTATTTTTAGAGCAGTTTTCGAGTCACAGCAAAGTATAGACAACGCCGATGGAGCCCAGTGCTGTGTGCAGCGCTTCCTCAGTGTGACTGTCCCCACCAGAGCCAAGTGCCCTGAGGCCGAGGTCCCAGCGTTGCCACGCTATCATCACCCAGAACCTCTCCTTCATACTCAGGTTCACTCTGCAGTGTCCTGGCCAGTGACTCCGGCTCTCTGCGTCTCCAGCTTCCTTGCTTGCTCCTTGGCACTTGGAGCCACGGTGGTCTGGAGGCTGCACTCTGACAGAACAGTCGCTCTTGCTTTGCTTTGTTCTAGGTTGTGGTTTCTGTGAGCTTGTGTGATTAGGGACCTGTGAGTTTTTCTGGCTTGAATCCATCCTCCTTTTCCCTCTCTGTTTCTCCCATCCTGACGGCTTCAGTTCCTAGAAGTCTCCGTTCTTCTTGCCTCTATTCTGGTTCTTCATTGTGCTTTCTGGTTCTCAGTGTAAACTCACCTATTCGGGAAATTGTTCCCTGACCTCTGTCTTCTTGCACCCCCGCTACCCTGCCCGGTTTACATCCTTACTTCATCTAGATTGGTTTCTCACCATAACACCAGAGTTTGTATTTGTCCTTGGTGCCTAGTGCTATACTTAGGTGTGTGAGGTAAATATTTGTAAATAGATAGATTTAGGAAGTGTAAGTTGTAACCAGTTGCCTAAAATAATTATCACTTTTTTAGTTAATAGCCCCTGTATTTTACAGAAACTGTTACTTTAGACCTTTTCTTTTCTTATTTCTTTTTTTCTTTTCTTTCTTTTTTTTTTCTTTCTTTCTCTGTAGACCAGGCTGGCCTTGAACTTACAGAGATCCAAACAGCCTCTGTTTCCCTGAGTGCTGCAATTAAAGGTGTGCGCCACCATGCTCACAGACCATTTCTTTTTAAATAATAATTATTTTAGAATTGAAAAGAAGAAAATGCCGTTTTAACCAATATCCTCAATCAGGTATGTGTTGATTACTGGATGTGAATCGCTTCATTTAATTCTTCCTGTTGCTATGTGGAGTAGGTTATCAGCCTGTTTTACCTCTGTGGAGACTTCTCTGGGAATTTAACGTGTCTAAGGTCAGGTGGCTAAAGAGTACCGGTTACGGTAGACTCGGACATGTGTCTGCTCTGCTTCTTTGCTGTGCTTTAACTGACTCCAATTTAATGGTCTCTTCCAACTTAATTTCTTAGAATTAACTATAATGTAAATTGTCTTTTCTTTTTTTGAGACAGGGTTTCACTGTGTAGCCCTGTCCGGTCTGGAACTCACTGTGTAGAACAGTCTGGCTTTGAAATGCCAGATATCCAGCCAGGCGTGGTGGCGCACCTATGGTTCCAGCAGCCAGAGAGGCAGAGACAGGCTGATCTCTGTGAGTTTGAGGCCAGCCTGGTCTACAAGGGACAGTTAAGTCCAGGACAGCTAAGGGTACAGAGAAACCTGGTGTTGAAACAAAACAAATGAAAACAAAACAAAAAATCCCAGAGATCCATCTGCCCCTGCCTCCCAAGTGTGGGGATTAAAGGCATGCCGTGTCCAGCCAGTGTAAGAGTTTTACGTTTAGGGTTTGGGATACTTTTTAGAGATTAATTAGAAGTGTTTTGTTGATCCTGGTGCTTTAACAGTATTTTGCTTACTTGGCATAACACCTATTGTTGATGTTGATACTAAAGGTCAAACATATATGAGAATATGTTTTTGTTTTGTTTTGTTTTGAGACAGAGTCTCAACTATGTAGCCCAGGTTGCCCTGGAATTTGCCATATAGCCCAGGCTGCCCTCAAACATGCAGTGATCCTCCTACTTCCTCTCTCTAGTACTGGGATTATGGATGTGTGCCGTTGTGCCCAGCTGGAGAGTGGAGTTTTAATTCAGGGAATTAAAAGTGTCAAAAGCTTAATGTTAAGATCACCAGACTCTGGAAGTAACAGACTCTATGCCTCCTTCTCAGGGACCATTTTTGCATATGGACAGACGGGGACAGGCAAGACTTTCACCATGGAAGGTGTTCGCTCAGTGCCGGGGCTCAGAGGGGTCATCCCCAACTCATTTGCCCACATATTTGGCCACATTGCAAAAGCAGAGGGCGACACAAGGTGAGAGTGCTCCCAGTTCCTAACATGAGAGGGAGGCCTGGGAGCGCGGGGATTATAAACACAGTGAAGACATTGACTATTCTATTGTACTTACAGGTTTTTGGTGCGAGTGTCATACTTGGAGATATATAATGAAGAAGTTCGAGACCTTTTAGGCAAGGATCAGACTCAGAGGCTGGAGGTAAGGATGGAATTAGAGTTGAAATAAAAATTAGAATAGAGTGCTTGTCAGATGAAGGTTCTTTTGCATTCATTTGTGTGTTCTCTTCCTATAAGAGGTGCTTTTAAAAACCACCTGCTCTGTCCCTCTTTACCAGCAGACCCATTTGAGCAAAAGTCGCTGAGCATGGCTGCCGAGTCAGGCAGTGAATTTGATAGATAGTGCCATCCTAAAGATACTTGAAGATACAAAACAAACTCTTGTGTTTTTTTGTTTTTGTTTTTGTTTTTTTAATTTTTCTTAAAAATTAGCCTTTTAGGGAGTTGGGGATTTAGCTCAGTGGTAGAGAGCTTGTCTAGCAAGTGCAGGGCCCTAGGTTTGATCCTCAGCTCTGGGGAAAAAAAAAAAAAAATAGCCTCTTAAATGTTAGTATTGGAATTTTTTTATTTTTGTAAGTGCCCTGTCTGTGTTTTGTTTGTTTGTTTGTTTGTTTTCATTTGAAGATCCTTGCCGTATTCTTTTACCCCAGACCAGCCTGTCTTCGATTTTTGAAAATTTTAGGTTAAAGTCATGTTGCAGAGGCTTACCCTGTTCCTTTCACCAGCTCCTTGTCCCTGAATACATTCCTGGGCTAAGGTGCATGCCCAAGGGCAGGTAAAGGGCTCGCCACTGAGCCTGAACCAGGCTTTGGTCTCTGAGACCACAGGTGGAGGAGGGAAGCGTGAGCTGTTTTCTTATGCTGTCTTGTGTGCTATGGCATCATCACAGTTAATTTAGTGTTCAGTATTCCTTTCTGAGTTCTTACACATTTTCACCTCTGTGAAGCAGGCATCTTTCATAACCGTACCCTACTGTTTTCCCACGTGTAACGGTAGATACTCAGCAAATAACTGGAAAACTTCTCTGTTATAAACCAAAGTCTTAGGCGTGATTTTTGCTTGTTTTTCAGGTTAAAGAAAGGCCTGATGTGGGAGTGTATATCAAAGATTTATCAGCTTATGTGGTCAATAATGCTGATGATATGGATAGAATCATGACTCTGGGCCACAAGAACCGTAAGTGCGGACATTACTGTGGTGAAATGCCCGTATTTGAGTGCTGGATGAGAAGCAAAGAAGTTTGGCTTTTGCCCCGTAGAGGTTGAATTCTTTTATCCTTTTATTTATTATTATTATTATTTGTTGTTGTTTATTTTCTTATTTTGAGACAGGGTTTCTCTGTGTAGCCTTATCTGTACTGGAATTTACTCTGTTGACCAGCCTGGTCTCAAATTCACAGAGCTCCACCTGCCTCCGCTACCTTAGTGCTGGCACTAATTCACTGCCCAGCGAATTTTTATTTTTTAAAGTCCACTCATTTTATTCACCATCTAGGGAACATATGTGAATGAACAATAGCACAGATTACTTTTCATGCTGACTAAAGTTTTCTCTTCGTTAGTACCAATCTTTATTTTTTTTTAAGATTTATTATGTATACAATGTTCTTTCTGCATGTACACCTGCACGCCAGAAGAGGGCACCAGATCTTATTATAGATGGTTGTGAGCCACCATGTGGTTGCTGGGAATTGAACTCAAGACCTTCGGAAGAGCAGCCAGTGCTTTTAACCTCTGAGCCATCTCTCCAGCCCTAGTACCAATCTTTATCTAATTATTTAAAGACAGGGTCTTACTGTCTTACTGTCCTAGTAAGGTTTTACTTATTTTTATTTTATGTGTATGAGTGTTTTGCCTGCATGTGTGTAAGTACACCATGTGCATGCAGTGCCCACAAAGGCCAGAAGAGGGCACCAGATTTCCTGGCACTGGAGTTACAGACAATTGTGATCAGTCATGTGAGTGCTGGGAACCAAACTCAGGTCTTCTGGAAGAACAGTCAGCACTCTTAACTGCAGAGCCATCTCTCCAGCCTCTTTGGTTTGTTTGCTTTTTGTTTTCTTGAGAGATGATCTCTACAAAGTCTTGGCTATTTGGGAATTTGCTATATATACAAAGGTAGCCTCAAACTCACAGAGCTCTCCCTGCTTCTATCTCCCAAGTGCTGGGATTAAAAGCGTGTGCCACCAAGCCCGGCTCTCCAGTCTCTTAATAGTGCCAATCTTTGAAGCTGTTTTACTAGTTAAAAATCTTTTTGTTGTTGTTGTATTTTGTTTTTTGGAATAGCGTATCTCTGTGTAACCTTGGCTGACCTGGAACAGGCTGGCTTTGAACTCAGAAATCCGCCTGCCTCTACCTCCCGAGTGCTGGGATTAAAGGCATGTGCCACCACCAACCGGGCAGGTTAAAATCATGATAGCATTTTGCCTGAGCACTTAGTGGGTGGGAGGTGCTTGTGCTGTGTGCTGTTTGAGGGTGCTCACTGAGGCTTCACTGTAGTCTTTGGGGATTTGGGAGCCTGCCTTGGCCTCCTAGGTAGACACCACCCTGTCCAGTTTCACAGCTAGGTTAATCTTTAGATAGTAATCTTTTGGCATGAAGTGAAGAATTTTTGGCCCTGATGATGTTTTAATGCAGATTCTTTGGTTATAGTGTGAATTACAAAAGAAGTATACAGGGGGTCATGGTGGTGCATACTTGTAATCCCAGCACTCAGGAAGGCAGAGGCAGGTGGATCTTTGTGAGTTCGAGGCCAGCCTGGTCTACAAAGCAAGTCCAGGACAGCTAGGACTATACAGAGAAACCCTGTCTTGAAAGAGACAAAGGAAAGAGAGAGAACGAACAAAAAGTATTCAATGGCAAAACACAACTTGTGGTTTATAGTTAACCCTTGTCAGTGGCTTTGACTGTGAGGAGGCCAAGTATTTTAAATGTTCTAGGAATTTAATTAATAAGGGTACTCTTTGGGCTGAGGATAGCTCAGTTGGTAGTGTGTACCTAGCATGTGGAAGGCCCTGGTTCAGCCCCCAGCACTGCATAAACTGGGTGTGGAGGTACTCAAGAAATAGAGATAGGAAACCAAAGTTTAAGGATAGCCTGGGCTACAGGATGCCCTGTCTAAACAAACAAAGCAAGCGTAAAGGCATTCTGTCACAGTTTTTAAGGGTTTCTTTCCTCTGTTAAAGGTTCTGTTGGTGCGACCAATATGAATGAGCACAGTTCCCGATCCCATGCCATCTTTACAATCACTATAGAATGCAGTGAGAAAGGCGTTGATGGAAATATGCATGTCAGGATGGGGAAACTCCACCTCGTGGATCTTGCTGTGAGTGACTGCATGCTCCTTACAGTTCTCTGTGGCCATCTATCTGTTAATAAAAGTTAAAGTCTATACACAATGGAATACTACTCAGCAGTCAAAAAGGAGGAAATCATGAAATTTGCAGGCAATTGGTGGGATCTAGAAAAGATCATTCTGAGTGAAATATCCCAGAAGGAGAAAGACAAACACGGTATATACTCACTTATATAGACCTATAAGATATGATAAACATAATGAAATCTATACACCTAAAAAAGATAATCAAGAGAGCGGACATGGGGTAAGATGATCAATCCTCGTTTAGAAAGACAGATGGGATGCGCATTGAACGTATGACAGGAGTCTACTGAGCGCATTTGAAAGACTCTAACTAGCAGTGTTTTCAAAGCACAAAGACTCATGACCAAACCTTCGGCAGAGTACAGGGAATCATATGAAAGAAGGGGAGTTAGTATGACGGGGAAAGGATAGGAGCTCCACAAGGACCAAATATATCTGGGCACAGGGTCTTTTCAGAGACTGACATTCAACCAAGGACCATGTATGGATATAACCTAGAACCTCTGCTCAGATGTATCCTGTGGTAGCTCAGTAACCAATTGGTTTCCCATAGTGAGGGGAACAAGGACTATTTCTAACAGGAACTCAATGCCTGGCTCTTTGACCTCCCCACCCCCCAAGGGAGGAGCAGTCCTGTTAGGCCACAGAGGAGAGCTTTGCAGCCAGTCCTGAAGATACCTGATAAAACAGGATCGGATGAATGGGGAGGAGGTCCCCCCATCAGTGGACTTGGAAAGGGGCACGGTGGAGATGAGGGAGGGAGGGTGGGATTGGGAGGGAATGAGGGATCGGGATACGGCTGGGATACAGAGTTAATAAAATGTAACTGATAAGAAAAAAATAAAATAAAATAAAAATAATTTAAAAAAAAAGTTAAAGTCTAAAGTACGACCTCCATGGAATTTTAAATTATTACTCTAGGATGTGTCTGAAAGTAGATAGAGTAATGTCATGATTCTCTGTACTTCTGTCACCATTAACAGCTGTCAGCAGCTGGCTAGGCTTTTGCGTGTGTGTTCTTCCCTCATTACTTTGAGGTGAATTCCAGACGTCATATTTGATATTTTAAATTACTTTTAAAAAACCAGATATTAGAAAAAACACATTCTTGATTTAAAAAAAAAATTAGTTCAACTTTTGTCTGTTTATTGCTAGGGGTCAGAAAGACAGGCAAAAACTGGAGCCACAGGACAGCGCCTCAAGGAAGCGACAAAAATCAACCTTTCGCTGTCCACCCTGGGCAATGTCATTTCTGCCTTGGTGGATGGAAAAAGCACTCATGTGCCTTATCGGAACTCTAAACTGACGCGTCTTCTGCAGGATTCCTTAGGAGGGAACTCAAAAACCATGATGGTAAGACTTCAGTCATGGCAGAGTTAATTCATATGAGGCAAATTTAAGATTGTAATTTATGCCCGTAACCAATGTGAATATAGCATTTTACAAATCAATCTCTTTTCTCTGTGTAATGCACCAAGTAATTGCCTGTGGTTGTATGTTTCCATACCTACATGATTAATACTGATTTTAAGAAGGCCAAATTGCATATATGCTTTACTATATGTTTTGGTAATGGTGGTCTTACAGTTGGTATAAAGGGTTGGAGAGATGGCTCAGAGGTTAAGAGCACTCAATGGCTGCTCTTCCAGAGGTCTTGAGTTCAATTCCCAGCAGCCACATGGTGGCTCACAACCATCTATAATGAAATCTAGTGCCCTCTTTTGGCATTCAGGCATACATGCAGGCAGAACAACTATACAGAATTAATCTTTAAAACAAAACAAAAAGAAATGATGTAGAATGATTTACATTTCTAATTCAACAGTGTGCAAATATTGGGCCAGCAGATTATAATTATGATGAAACCATCAGTACCTTGCGGTATGCCAACCGCGCCAAAAACATTAAAAACAAAGCCAGAATCAATGAAGACCCAAAGGATGCTCTGCTTCGCCAGTTTCAGAAAGAAATAGAAGAGCTGAAGAAAAAGCTTGAGGAAGGTAACTTCTCACAAAAATTGCTGTCAGCTGAGGCAGACTGGTGACCAAGCATTTGCCTTCCGTCTCTAATATTGATACTTAAAGTATCTGTGTGTGTGTGTGTGTGTGTGTGTTTGTGTGTCTGTGTCTGTTTGTGTGTTGGACATGTGTGAATACTACCACTCACATGCCACAGTCCATGTGTGAAGGTCAGAGGACACCTGTGGGAGCTGGTTCTCTCCTTGCACTCTGGTTCTAGGGATCAAACTCATGTCAGGCTTGCATGGAAAATATGTTACCTGCTGAGCCATTTGTGGTCCCTAACACTGACATTTAAAAATAATATATCTGAGGGATATGTGTCTTCTAAGAAAATGTTTTTGGAGAGGAAATCGTAGCTGATGGCGGTGAGGAGCTTCCTGGTGAGTTCCGGGCACTTCCTCTCTGTCAGCAGGAGCTCTGACTGCCGTAGAGCTCCCTGTGCAGCAGGCGAAGGGCCTGGAGACCAAGCCTTTGCAGTCTCTGGAGAAGACCCAGAGGTGCCAACCTGCCACTCCTGTATCCGGGGAAAAGCTAGATTCTGAGAAAAGGCAGGAGAAAAAGCCTCACAGAAAATGAAAGTTGGTGTTTTTAAATGGCCACTAGGTGGCATTTATAGCTAGTTCTTTTTCAAAATCTTTCATGTCACAGTTGATGCTGAGCACATGCCTTCATGTTGATGATTCGGTTATTTTTCACATTTTTATATGTCAAATTTACATAGTAGAAGTTGACGTTTGACTGTGTAGGCACCTCACATAAGGAATTGTTTTTGCTTTTGTGTCCATCTTATTCACAGTGTAAGGGCTTCAGGGCTTCAGGGCGCTGTGGCTTGTGAGGGTTTCTTTCTAGATGGCTGGGATTCCACCCTGCTTGTACACTGCGTTAGGGATGTGAGTTGCTGCACCCTGTGGTCTGTGTGACTGGTGTGGTTGTACACGTTAGATACACACAAGTTCAAGTGCTTGTCCACAGTGTGCTGGGTGCGCACCCAGAGGCAGAGCACACACTCATATTCTTTGTAATGTGGTTTACTTTATTCGTGTCCTGAGCCTGAACTCTTTGTCTTTATGATCTAGTTAACAGAATGGTCAAATCAACAACAAAATGCAGGCAAAAGCATTAAAGAAATAACTTTATAAACTTGTTTTAAGATTATTTGAAGCTTGTAGAAGTTTATATAGAGTGGAGAATTTCCATCTGCCCTTGCTTGGCATTACTCACAGCCAGGGTCTTGGTACTGAGTCCAGAAAATGCTGGTTCAGAGTCACTAACCAACCTGCAGGCTCCCCCGACTTTGTCAGTTTCCTTCCCAGTAGATCCCTGTGTGAGATGACAGTTTATGGCTATTGTTTTGATACAGGGTCTCACTCAGTAGCACAGGTTAGCCTCGATCCCCTGGCAGTCCTTCTCACTTCCAAAGGCTTAATTCTCTTAAAAAACATATATGTAAGTGCTGGAGAGATGGCTCTGCAGCCGAGAGCACTGGCTGATCTTCCAGACGATTTTTTTTTTTTTTAAAGACTGATTGATTTATACACTATTCTGCTGCATGTTTGCCCCCACACCAGAAGAGGGCACCAGATCTCACTATAGATGGTGGTGAGCCACCATGTGGTTGCTGGGAATCAAACTCAGGACCTCTGGAAGAGCAGCCAGTGCTCTTAACCTCTGAGCCATCTCTCCAGCCCATGATCCGGTTTCTATTCCTAGCACGCACACAGTCGCTCACAGCCATATGTAACTCCAGTCCCAGGAGCTAGGGCACCCTCTACTAGACTCTGTGGGTACTGCACACATTTGGTGCACGTACACATGCAGGTAAAACGTGCCTGTGCGTAGCATTCAAAACAGAACAAAGGCGGATTTCTTAAACAGAAAACAGGAGAAAATGCTCCCCCAGAGGATCACGTTTTTACAAAAGCAAATGCTAGTGCATATTCCATGTGTATGTTTAAAGCTGTACTCAGCAGTGGGTCAGATTTTAACTTCTCTTTCAGGGCTGTTAAATAAAATTGCTAGCTAGGCATGAAGGAACACGCCATTAATCCCAGCGCTCGGGCGATAAGCAGGAAGTGCTGTGTGTTCCAGTCAGAGCTACTCAGTGTGATCCTGTCTCAAAAGCGTATTTTTTCTTAAAAAGTAAAGTAAAGTTTCCGTGTCCATTGTGTGTGTGGTTGCGTGGGCAGCTGTGCCTGTGCACAGGCTTAGAGACAAGAGGACAGTGGGGGCGTTGCTCCTCAGCTAGTGTCCACTCTCGCGGTGGAGCTGGGGGAAGACAGGCTCTCTCACTGGCCTGGCATTCCCTAAGTAGGCTAGGCTGGCTTGTCAGCAAACCCCAAGAATCCTCCATTTTCCACCTGCCCTTATGTATTTGTCAGTTTAAGCATATCAGATACACTATTTATGAACATTTAAGTAGACGTTCAGTTTGTGTTTGGAGTACAAAAACTTAAGAGAACAGACGTAGGCATTTTCTAAATACCCAATGACTTGGTACAGACTAAAAATCATTGTTGAATTTCTGTCCAAGGGGAAGAAGTATCAGGCTCTGACATCAGTGGGTCAGAAGAGGAGGACAATGAGGAGGGGGAACTTGGAGAAGATGGTGAAAAAAGGAAAAAGAGAAGGGGTAAGTTCAGTTCATGGCCTGATGGTGCAAGTTTCAATGTGCTCTTTTAATTATGGTAGTGGCTCCGGCAGGGAATGTGTGCTGTGTGGGTACCTGTGTAAATGCTGCCTCCTGTTTACCTTGCTGACCTAGGATGCCGTATCACCCTGTAAAGCTCTGTGGTGGTAGATACACCATCACGTGGTTTTACATCTGTCAGCTTCCTGCCTGCTTTTGAAATTAGGATAACGGGGGATTTCTTCTTCAAGTGAGGTTAGCCTTTAAAAATCACTTGCAGGTGGTAAATTTGAATGAGGATTATAGTTTTTCATTGACTTCCTTTCTTTGTAAACTGTGTGTCATTGTCACCTTTCTCGGGGCGGTTTCTAAGTGTGAATTAAAACCGCAGTACCGAGGCTGCCGATGGCAGGTAGAAAAGGGTGTCCCTGCCTCATTCCAAACTCGGAGCTCTCCTCAGCTCCTGCAGGCTGCTGCACAGCCACAGTTAACCAGGCTCGCTGAGGGCAGACCCGTCACTGTTGGAGGGAGCCCAAAGTAAACACTGAAGATTCTGTGTATTCAAAACGCAGGAAAAGTAGCATGTAGGGCAGAGGTTGGCAGAGTACAGTGTGCCAGCCAAAACCTTGTGGAACCTGATTCTGTAAATAAGTGTTCTAAAGCAGCCACGCTCGGTTGTTTGCCTGTGCTCTCTGGCTCTTTCACACCAACGCATGTGGCCTGGCTGTTGGTCCTTTTACAAAAACTGTTAGTCGGCCCTGACTTAAAATGGGTTTTTATTCATAGCTAGTTTTTCAGAGTAAACTATTCTTTTCTGGCCTGGAGCAGATAGTAGACTTAGGAAAAAATAAATTTTATGTAGGAAAAAAGCGCCAGTGTTTAATATGTTAGAATATTTTAAAGTAATATGTTTTACCCTGTGCTGAGAGCCTTGACATTTTTCAGTGAGCCTCGTCAATTATGCTGTCAGGCTTTAAATGTAAGTAAAGTCTGATAGCTTGATGTCTTGAGGGAAGATGGGGAATTGGAGACAATATTGACTGTGCTGAAGGGCAGCTTATTCTGTAACAGGAATTGTGTGTCTGTATGCTTTAAAGTTGTCTCTCTTTCTTAGCAGCTTAAATAGACTTGCAGGTCAGCAAGTGATGTTTTTGTCACTTCAGCCCCCTGATGAGTAGTGGGGTTTGCCACTACTGCAGATCTTTACAGAAATGCGATTTTAATTCCCTGCATGGCTTTGTGACAAGAGGACAGTGGCTGGACTACCTAGTTTTAAGCTAGAGTGAGTTGCTCTTGAATGCAAAGCTTAATTGTGCTCTAAATTCTTCCTGCACAACTCAAGTTTTCTCTGTGTATTTGTTCCTTTCTTGTTCCCTCTCTCTGGTTCCCGTGGGCTCGTTTCTTTGTCTTCCAGGCAGTAGCAGCAGCAGTAGCTCAGACTCCACATGTTCTGTCATAGAGAAGCCTCTGGATGAGTCCCTGCCTCGTGAGTGGCGGCCCTCACCTCTCTAACAGAGCTCTGGCTTCTCCATCACTCATGGGCTTCATTCAGGAGATGCTGCCCCACTCCCTGTCATGACTGGTCCTTGTTGGGCTCCCAGTAGAACAAGCATGTGATCCCCGCCCTGCCATGGCTTCAGTTAACTGTGAAACATAGGCCAGAGCCTATGTTTGAGACGGTGGCCGAGAGAATCCTGCTTTTGCCGCTGAGATAATGTAAAGAGAGGTAGTAAGCTGTGTGAAAGAAGCATCATCAGGGCCCTTTTCTATGCTGCTTGTACATCTTTAATTCTGGTCAGTGTCAGAGACACGAACAACGAATCTGGAATCCCTGCAAGTACAGCAGCCCCCATTGTAACAAGCCGTACGAGCTTCAGATAAGGAGCTGTGTAAAGTCCAAGGCAAGTAGAGAAGATTGGGTAGCCGTGTTTCATCCAGCTGGATGTGCCCCCACTGCTGAGTTACCATCTTGATTGTAAGACTTTCTGAGACATGATTAGAAAACTCAGCCACAAAGAGATCATAAGGTCTGGGTAGACTCATTTCAGACTTAGAGTTTTTTTGTAAACCATTAGTTGAAAAGCATTACTTAATTTTGTCTGTTTCTACTTTCAGAAGAAAATGGAAGCGAAGCTTGCTTCCTCCAGCTCGCAGCTTGCTGTCTCTTAGAGCATTATCTTTACCCTGACCCAGACTAATGCCAGAAGCCATTGCTCTTAGCTTTACTAGGGAGTATTTTAAGACTCAAGACACTGTCTGTTGACACTGTTGAAGCAGGTTACCAGAACAGCTGATCTCACCGGATAATTTATAAATGCATGGCATTGTTCAGACACCACACAGAAGCACAGTTTTGCATTATAAACTGTGAAATGAGGGGAAACTATCTGAGTAGGAAGCACTGTAATTTAACTTCTGTCCTAAACTTACCATTCTTGGGGAGTAGTTACATGAAAGTTGTGAAATGAGTGCTACCTTATTCAATTCAGGACTGTTTTCCCGTTCAAGAAGCTTTCATTGCTGTTTGCACACCTAACATTTACCTTTGTTGTCGGAACATGGATGTGTTGGGGAGGTGGAGAGATGGTTGTCCCGGCATGTGGTTGCTGTGTGTAACTTGTGTGTGACCCCCCAGTAAAAAATACCAGTGGCCGTTGATGTCCCTTGCTTGAGTCATCAGTTGCCATTTACTTTGGTCGTTATTGAATACCCAGAACTGTCTACCCATAGGCTGAGTGTAAGTTTGCTGTATACAGGTGCACTTCATTTTATGTAATTAGAGGGCTGCTTACAAATCAAGTTGGGAAATAAAATATTGTGAGCTTAATTCTTAGCCCTTTTGTTAGTCACATGACCAGTTTAAACTCCCATAAACTAGTTCATGTGTTCTGTTGCTTCAGGTCTACCTGGTAGATTTTCTTAAAATGGGGCACACCTGTAATGGGTCTGTATCTAGAAGAAACATTGAATTGGGAAATTTTGGAAATGGACAGTAAGAGACTTGTTACTTTTCATTTACTAATTTTAAAAATTGACTCTATTTTTGGTTTTGCCCTTCTAGATGTTTCCCCTGTCTTAGCAGGTTCCCAATTCCATGTCTACTCCATCAGCACAAGCACATGCACTGAGCTGTACCACCTGCAGGGGGCACTGTGGGCGCCTGAGGTTGCGTGGGAACCACAGAGTGAACCGAGTCTAGCATTCGTGATTGTCTTATGGAACATGCTTTCTTTTTCTGTGACTATTTCAGTTTTGGTTATTTGATTCATGTCTATGCTCATGCTAAATGAATGCTGTTACGTTTTCTCCTTTTTACAAAGGAAATAATGTTTTCCTTTCTTCCCTCCTCATCTCTGTGCACATGCTTCCTGTCTGCGACTCGCTTACCGCTTCTTTGCAAGACCAAGCAGGTTGGTGTGATTGGCTTGCACTCCCCGTGGTGCACTTACTCATTTTCTCAAGACCTTTCACTTAACTATTTCACTTTTTAAAATTTAACAATTTTTACAAGGTAAGTATCTGTCTTTAAAAACAATTCCATTTTAGCTATTAAAAAACAAACAAACAAAAAAACTTTTCCCCTAAATTCTTAAAGATCCGCTAAGTGTATTTTGAAAATACACTCGTCACTGATTGGGCATTCAGGCATTTCCCTCCTTTTGAAGGCCGAGAGTCAGTTCCTGTTGCCCGCATCATAGGTGCTTGTGAAACACACAGCATTAGTCCAGCTGTCACTTGCTGCAGCTCCACCCTCACCCACTCTGCCAGGTCACCCTCACTTGGGCAGCACCTGGCCACGGGGGAACGGAAGGCTCATAACTTCCCTTTGACTTAGCTCAATATTTTTTTATATTATCAACATGCCTTTTTAGATTTACTTTTAGAGTACTTAAAATTTTTGTGCTGAATTTTATCATTGAGAACTAAAAAAAGTTCTGAGGTTGTTTTTTTTTCCCCCTCTTGGGGTTTTTTATTGTTGTTTTGTTTTTTATTGATTTGGCTGATAAGACTGTGTGATGGTCTTGAGAATGAACCCAGGGCTTTGCACACGGTGACCAAGCACTGAGCTCCACCCCATCTCCGTGTAAAGATCTCCTCAGAGCACATGTAGTCTCTCATCCTACTGAGGGGTCACAGTGCGCATTGGCTGCACGGAAGGCGGCTCACTGCAGGCTGCTCACAGCAGTGGGAAACAGCCCGCTGCAGGCTGAGGCTTGTCTCGAGGGGAGCACGGGATGAAAGCTCCATTCCTTAGAGATTTATGTGAAGTTACTCTTGGCAACCCAATTTTTACACAGTCACATTTAGCTTAAAGGGGTACTTGAAAAAAATAACGTGGCTTGGCATAGTGATTCTAGCTAGAGCCACGAGGGACTTGGATGTATGGACCTTTGAACTGACCCTAGCTAGATGGAGTGTTTTCATGAATTCCTCTTGAGCACAGTGTGACATTTTCTTCTAAAGCATGGGTTTGAAGGGATTGCTGTGTAAAGCAGTCAGTTAATCAAGAAACAGCATTTGTCTATTTTTACATGCCAGCCTTTTTTGCATAACTGCTGGTGGGTATTTGGAACTGTTGATAGCTATTAGCAAAACACTACAAATCCAAAAACACAAAACTACGTTCCTATATTAATCCAGTCATTTCACCTATGCCGATGGTTACCCCTGCCTTCCGCACACGCTGTTCTGGTCTTAACGTATTTGCCACCTTGCTCTAAACGTTTGTAATCCTCAGGTGGAAGTTACGTGTTTTAGTGTGCAAGTACTTCCTGTAAACCTGAACTTAGACTTTTCTCCTCATAATTTTAATAAATGTTATTACTGATAGAAAATCTTTTGAAGGAATTCATTGGGAATAGGAATGAAATTATTTGTGAAAATTACTCTTCTACGGTGTAATTCAGGAGGTTCAAGGCAGCAGCTGTGCCGCCGGGCTCGGGCCCACCTCCGACATGGAGTGCAGTGAATCACACCACACCAGCCGCCCGGGTCACAGCTCCTAGTTCCTCTTTGGTTTTGTGCCTTAGATTTTGCTGTAGACTTTGGTTCTGTAGGAGGAAGGATGCCGTTAAACCCTTGAGTTTCTAATGAGATTTTGTCTCGAGAGTTGGAAAAGCGCAGACCCTTCCTCTCATGGTTCCTACGAGAAGATACTCAGATCTGACGTGCCATCCTGATTGTTTTTCAGTCTTTTCCTTCCTAGCAGGAGGGGCTTCATTTGGGGTGGAGTATTAATTTGTAATCCTCTGTCCTTGTCCCTCGGGAAGGAAGTTGAGAATGACAAGCTTTCGGGAGAGTCTCAGGCCTGACAGTTCTATGAAATGCTTGTTGTTCTGAAGGAGTGCATTTCTAAGAACTTGCATCAACCAGAAACGAATTGTCATTGGCTCAGTTTCAGAACCACTTTAATACCCAGTGTTTGTTTTGTCTTTGTGATTTTTTTTTTTCATATAACTTGATGGTTTTGAGAGTCATTGGTGAACTTTGTGTGAGCAGGGTGCAGCTGTCTATCTACACACGCTTGGACACTGCGGTCGGCTGGAAGCTGCATTCCACTGACTCTTGGTTATTAGTTGGAAGTGCTTCTGCTGACTGTACTTGGCATGTTTGATCTGAGTTAGGAACTTTGCTCATCTAGTTTGACATAGTAAGTTACTTTGGTGACTCATTTATGATTTCCCAGGGCAGTTTATCAGTGAAACACCTGCCCCAAGTAAGTAACTTACATAATGAGCGTGCAAGCCATTTTTAGCTTCTGTGTGCTGTTTGGGAACCCACAGGCTTTGCTTTTTTCTTTTTCTTTTCTTTAATTTGGCTTTTCTATTAATTTTCTCTCTGTATTTTTCTGCTCATCTGTATTGTTCCTCTTTCATTTTTTTCCTTACATATCATTACACAGTAAGACAACAGTTTGAAATTATTAATAAATTAAAAAATTTCAGAACTGCTAAGTAGAAATGGAAGCTTAACATTTGCTGATGTCTGACTGCGTATAGGCAGTGCTATGCTAAGATAATTCTTATGTCTGAAACAGACTGCTTTAGTGACTGCTGCAATTAAATGACTCAAACAGGTAAAAAGAAAGTTTCCCCAGATAAGATGGTGGAAATGCAAGCGAAAATTGATGAGGAGAGAAAAGCACTGGAAACAAAACTTGACATGGAAGAAGAAGAAAGAAACAAGGCTAGAGCTGAACTCGAGAGACGGGAGAAAGACCTTCTGAAAGCCCAGTGAGTGCTGGTGAAGGTGTGGTGGGTTCATGACTGAGTTTCTAGTGTTTTCATAGGATTGGGTATCAGGAAAATGGATCAATTAAAAGCAACCAAAAGCTTGACTGACTCTTGTCTCCAGTGTAGCTGTTTTGGGGAAGAGGGTCCACGGAGTGTGACACATTTCTAAAATTGGCTCTTTCTGATTACCAAGTATCTGTGTAGGGGAAAATATTGGCCAATTGAAATTGTACCTTAGGTGATGGTTTAGTGCCATGTGATGGTATGGTTCGGATAGACGCCACGTGACTGAATTTCTGTACGTGTACATCTTCAGTTCCTCTGAAATTTTGGGAGTGAGATTAGAGCAGCAGGTGATGGGGATTTAGAATGCTCTTGTTTTAATTACAGACAAGAGCATCAGTCTTTGCTAGAAAAACTGTCTGCTTTGGAGAAGAAGGTAATTGTCGGTGGTGTGGACTTGTTGGCCAAAGCTGAAGAGCAAGAGAAGCTTCTTGAGGAGTCCAATATGGAACTGGAAGAGAGGAGGAAAAGAGCCGAGCAACTTCGGAAAGAACTCGAGGAAAAAGAGGTACCGCCATGTTGGGTGTGCTGTGTGCAGCGTGCCCACTCTTTTCCAGTAGGGAGCTAAGTGCGGAAAATACAGCAGAAAGAGACTATGGATCATTTTGAAGACAGTAGCTACTAAACATCTAGATCATGTGTTACGTTGAATTTGTGGCCTGTTTTTATTATAGCAAGAACGCTTGGACATTGAGGAGAAATATACCAGTCTGCAAGAGGAGGCTCAGGGGAAGACCAAGAAGTTGAAGAAAGTCTGGACCATGTTAATGGCTGCAAAGTCAGAGGTTAGTGTCTTGGAAATTGCCTCTAATGCGGTTTAGAGCCTCAGTGTGTGCTTATGGGTTTTTGTTTGTTTGTTTGTTTGTTTTTAATTGGTTGGTTGGTTGGGGGTTTTTTGCTTGTTTTGTTTTTCAAGACAGGGTTTCCCTGTATAGCTCTGGTTGTCCTGGAACTCACTCTGTAGACCAGGCTGGCCTCAAACTCACAGAGATCCACCTGCCTCTACCTCCTGAGTGCTGGGGTTAAAGGTGTGTGCCACCTCACCCTGGATTTGTGTGCTTACAGTTTTAAAGCACTGAAACAGTTACTCCTGTCTGTATATTTAAAACTTGACTTATTAAGCTCATCCACCTTTGAGCTGTAAGTAATAATTGGAAATAGTCAATGACCGTGTCAGTGTGTTCAAGAACTTGGCCAGATGCAGTGCTTGTACTTAAAATCTTGTTCATGTGTCCTCTGGCAGATGGCTGATCTCCAGCAGGAGCATCAGAGGGAAATTGAAGGCCTCCTGGAGAACATTCGGCAGCTCAGCCGTGAGCTTCGGCTTCAGATGCTCATTATTGATAACTTCATACCTCAGGATTACCAGGTGAGGGGAGAGTCCGATCTAGACATTGATCTAGGTCATTGATGAGAGCTAAAGAGCAAGCCAGTGTAGCTAATTTAAGATGTTAAATGTTTACATTGCAACTATCTTCTGTAAAGTTGCTTTGAACTAGTGCTGTAATATAAAAGTGTCCTAGTTAGGATTACTATCACAGTGATGAAATGGCATGACCAAAAGCAAGCTGGGGAGGAAAGGGTTTATTTGGCTCACACTTCCATATCACTGTTCATCACTGAAGGGAGTCAGGACAGGAACTCGAGCACAGCAGGAACCTGGAAGCAGGAGCTGATGCAGAGGCCATGGAGGAGTGCTGCTTAATGGCTTGCTCCTTGTGCCTGGCTTTCTTATAGAACCCAGGGCTGCCTGCCTTAATGTGTGCTTAATGATTTGGATAGATACCATGTGACTGGATTTCTCTAAGTGTGCATTTTCAGTTCTACTGAAGTTGGGGGCGTGAGACTAGAGCAGCAGTTGCCTGGGATTCAGAATTAAAGATGAGCATCAGTCTCTGCTGGAAAAACTGGGCAAGGAGGGTACTGCCCATATGGGCTGAGCCCTCACCCATCAATCACTAGTTACAAAAATGCCCTACAGCAGGATCTTATGAAGGCATTTTCTCAACTGAGGTTCCCTCCTTTCAGATAACTCTTGAGTCACATTGACACAAAACTAGACAGCATAGACTCAGAAAGACACAGCTGGTATAGACTCACTTAGAAGCAGATTTTAGTCATGTAGTACAGGACAGACATACTACAATGCACAGACCCCAAGAAGATGAGTCCGATAAGATAAGTTCATGTGGACCCACTGGTTAGGGGAGCAGGGAGTGTCTCTGACAAAGACTATGTTGCCTGCTTTTTTATCACTTCCCCGTCATGGGACTTCTCTACAAAACCACATGGGAGGAAAATGAACTCAGTCCTCATGTGAATAGGTGAGCTGGGGTGTCTCAGTTGGGGGGGCTCCCCTGTTATGAGGAATAGGGGAGAGAGGATGCAGGAGGAAAGGTGGAACTGGCCGGGAGGGGAGGGGGGGGGCCAATGTCCAAGATTAATTAATGAATCAATAAATAAGCTACTCTATGACCAAAATAAAAAGCTAGCCAGCATAAAAGATGTTGACTTTGTTTTTTCAAATGGTTTTTCAAGACAGGGTTTCTTTGTGTGGCCTTGGCTTTTCTAGACTCACTTTGTAGACCAGGCTGGCCTAGAACTCACAGCAATCTGCCTGCCTCTGCCTCCCTGAGGTCTGGGATTTTATAAAGGTGTGCACTACCGCGCCAAGGGTGATGTTAACTTTCTTTAGAATGTAATTGTCTTTTTGAGTATCTTAAGTATCTAAATAAGAATGTGTCAGCCCATTGCAGGGACCTTGGTTCACATAAATACATGCATAATCAAGGTCCTATTGATTCGTTAACATATTTATGTACTTAGAAAGTAGAGAGGGAGCTGGAAAGGTGGCTCAGTGGTTCAGAGCACTGGCTGCTCTTCCAGAGGATCCAGGTTCAATTCCCAGCACCCACATGATAGCTCACAACCATCTGTAATTCCGGTTCCAGGGAATCCAACGCCCTCCTTCTTCTCCACAGGCATTAGGCCAACATGTGGCGCACCTCCCGGGTGCTGCGATTAAACACCTGTGCGCTCCCCCCAAGCTACATAAATAATTTTTAAACAAAAGGAAACAGAATGCGCTGCTGTCTTCTCCCTTGACGGATGTGCTCTGGTCCCCTCAGTGTGTATGTGTGTCTGTGTCTGTGTTTGTGTAAATAGACAGAACATGAACTTGCCCATTCTAGTCATCTGTACTTATACAGTTAATAACTCCAAATTCACTCACTTGCTTGTACAACCAACCATCATAGTAGCCATTTTCAAACAGGTAGTAATGTTATCACCAGCATAATTTTACCTTTTTCTTCGCAAAATTTTATTTTATTTTTAACTTTCTGTATTTACGTGAGAATATGGGTTTGTGCACAGAGTCCAGGAAAGAGTGTCGGTCACCTAGAACTGGAGTGAGAGGAGGTGGGAGGCTGCTGGGTGTGGGTGCGGGAGCAGTGGGCACCCAACTCCTGGAGCCATCTCTCCAGCCCACCCTCTAGTGTGTCTTAGTAAGCTTTAATGTGTGTGTTTAATGTTGTGAATCTCAGCAGAGCTATGAGAAATTTGTCTGCATTTTCCTTTGGGCCCTGAGTACCCAGGGTCAGTCTCGGGTTTCTGGCACACTCCAGGATGCCCTAGTTCCACGTTGTAACTCATTACCCAAAATCAGAGCTGAAATCTAATCTAGACTGTAACCTATTTTTAGCCAAATGATTTTCCAACCTTTTTACTCCTTTACCTCTTCTAGCCCAGCCCGTCTGTCTCCTGATTCCCAGGATCCCAAGTTTTGCCTTTTCTTTTTATGTAGTTGAATAGAACCTACATGGGTTCCTAAGATGTTTGTGAGTACATGTGTGTGTACTTAAATTTATTTTTATGTATGTGGATGTTTTGCCTGTATGTGTGTATGTGTGCCGTGTGCAAGCCTGGTGCTCATAGAGACCAGAAGAGGTGTCGGATCCCTGGAATCAGAGTTACATTCTGTTGTCAACCACCATGTTGTGACTTGGGAACAGAACCCAGGGCCTCTGCAAGAACAGTTGCTCTTAACCATTAAGCCACCTCTCTAGCCCAAGGAGTGTATGACTTTAAATGCTCAAAGGTAGTGCATGCCTTGAATCTCAGCACTCAGGAGGTAGAGGTGGTTGGATCTCTGTGGGTTCCAGGACAGCCAGCATTACTCAGAGAAACCCTGTTTCAAAAACAACAACAACAACAACAAAAAAAAACAAACAAACAAAAAATACTTGATGTAGTACATAATATTTAGAAGCAACTTTTTTTCACTTAACATTGAAAATGTAGGCCTAATGAGGTGGTTTAGCAAGCGAAGTTATTTGGCAACCTGAGTTTGATACCAGAACCCACATAAAGGTCTAAAAAGAGAAAACTACTGACTCCACAAAGTTGTTCTTTGACCTCCACATAAGTATGTGACGTGTCTGTCCCCCACCATGCAAACGTGGATATATATTACACAATAGTGATAAAAATGAAGTGCCTTTAGAAGAGCTCAGTTCAAGCCACGGGGAGTCAGAGGGATTGTATGAGCAAGATAGAGTGATACAGACATCACGCATGGTTATCTTGTCCTGTAAATATTTTCAGTATCTTAACTGTTAACTAAGAATAAGCTTGGACTCTTTTTGAAGGAAATGATTGAAAACTACGTGCATTGGAATGAAGACATCGGAGAGTGGCAGCTGGTGAGTATCCTTCACACTTGGTGAAATTAGGGAGACGGTGCTGGCTGCTGCGGGAGGACAGACGCGAGCTCAGTGGCCTGGATAGGACACGTGATTCACAGCAACGTGGAGGCCATGTGTGGCAGTGGGTTAGCCCTGGGCCTTCTCGGTTCTGGGCGGCCTGTTGGGTCCATTCTGCTCCAGGAGTCACGCTGTTTACCATCGAGCTGTCGGTTGTCTCGCAGCAACCTTCCCAGTTCACAGTATTAACTCAGACATGTCTCTTCCCTCTTTTCCTTTTTTGAGAAATGTGTGGCCTACACGGGAAATAACATGAGGAAACAAACTCCAGTGCCCGACAAGAAGGAGAGAGATGTAAGAACCCCTTTAAACCCTGCCTTATCTTTAATGAATGTGGCTCATTGGTGCTCATCTTTCGTGAACAGAAGCTCTTGGGTGGGGCTGTTAGGACAGGTCTGCTCTCCAGTACAGGTCCCTTTTCCGATCCTTCCACAAGTGCGGCCTGCTGTCACTCTGACGTGCCGTGCCGACCACTCTGGCCTGTGAGGACATGGCAGGGTCTAGGATGCCTTGCTTCCCTCAGCCAGAGGGCAGCCAGAGAACTTTTTTTCTTTACATCTGGAGAACTTTGTGTCATGGCAGGGTCTCTAATTCTTAAGCTTTGCGTGCTGGGGTAGAAGAGACGCTTAAAGGGCTGTTTGATTTTGTCTTCAGAAGTTCTGTCTGGCGTCAGACGTGTTTTCAGCCCCTCCCAGATCTGCTTTAACATCTCTTGTGTGTGTTTTCTTTAGCCCTTTGAGGTAGACCTTTCCCACGTGTACCTCGCCTATACAGAGGAGAGTCTGCGTCAGTCTCTGATGAAGTTAGAAAGACCACGGACCTCCAAGGGAAAAGCAAGGCCAAAGACAGGGAGAAGGTGAGGACAGCCTGAGTCCCTGAAGCGACAGCGTCAGACTTCAGTTAACAGGGCATATAATTTGAAATTATATTCTTTCTGCAGTTACGCTTTGATAAGCAAAATAGAGATAAAGAATTGTACTCTGGACAGTTTTGGTGGCGCACGCCTTTAATCCCAGCACTTGAGAGGTAGAGGCAGGTGGATGGATCTCTAAATTTCAGGCCAGCCTGGTCTGCACTGCCGGTTTCAAGACAGCCAGCGCTCCATAGTGAGACCCTGTCTCTTAGAAAACAGAAGGAGAGCTGCCTCTTTCCAGCTTCTGCCCACAGGAGGGACAGAGCTAGCCTCACTCGCCTTGTTCTTTCTTAGTGTTTACTTTCTACCTTCTGTCTGTTTAGAGTCTTCATTTTTGTATTAATTCTTCTACTAAGATGATAATTTGCCTAGTTTGATTCCCAAAATATTGTATTCAGCTGATCAGTTGTTTCTAACAATAGATATTGCCCCAAAGACACTGATTGCCTAGATCTTAGGGGAAGCTTCTGTGACTCTAGCACCAGTTTTGATAGTTGGGTTGTCTGTGTGCTTCGTCAGATAAGCTCAGTGGGAACCTGGCTTGGGGCTAATACTCCTCGTGTTCCTACATTGAGCAAATGCAACCAATAGCAAGACTTTGGCTCCTCACCACTCTGGAACACTGCTGTGGCAGCATGCTCTTTTGCTTGCTTTTGGTGACCTACAAACTCTGCCATGGTCAAGCATGGCCAGCATTGGTCCGATCATGACAGTTGGTCTTGGGGAGGGGCATTCGTGAAGAAGGGAGAGGGAGGGTGGGATTGGGAGGGGAGGAGGGAGGGACTTATGGGGGAATACAAAGTGAATAAAGTGTAATTAATAAAAAAATTAAAAAAAGAAAACAGAAAATTAAAAAAGTTGAAAAGACAAAAAAAAAAAAAAAGTTGACAGCTCCATCTCTTAGGGAAAACCACTCACCTTGCATTTTTGTTTATTTTTTCTTCTCTCAACAGAAAGCGTTCTGCAAAACCTGAGACAGTAATCGATTCTTTACTTCAGTAAATGTTACAGAATTAAAGTTACAATAAAAAAGAGTGATATTCCCATGCCTGGACAGAAATCCTTAATTAAGACACTGAAGACGTCTGTATAATTCATGTTCGGAAGCTGTAATCATGGAGTGAGACTGGAAACTGCAGTTTTCCTAGTATCTTTTAGACTCTTAAGTTCCTGTAATGTGAGTGTGCACACATGGCTCACGGTCGTTGGGGACACCGTGCTGTGTCACCCTGCTCTGTAGGAAGTGAGGGCACGGTTCCTGCCAGGTGTTGCGGTTGTCCGTGAATGTGCGGTCTCTTAGCCCCGTATTCAACTCCTCTGTATCTAGGTAAGCAGAACCTCAGACTAGAGCAAAGTCTGTCTGTCCGCACACAGCGTATAGAAGATCGCTCGCCTTGTCCTGGGTCCTGTGTCAGTATCTAAGCAGTGACCTGCGCCTGACCCTGACTGGCCTGTCTGAACGCAGTCCGGCAGTATACTAAGGTTCATTGCGTCTGAGTCTGAGATGCCTGACTGTGGTGAGCTCCTGTAGACAGTTGTCTCATTTGACAGCTTTGCAGGTTTACATTTACAGTCGCGGTCTGCTCATGTGCTTCGTCTGGGCACCTCCAGTCTTTGTCACTCTGACTCCACCCTCAGCCTTTGTCATTGCTGATTTGGATTCTCCATGCCTCCCGAAGCCAGCGCCGGCCACTTACCTTTGCTCACACACATCTTTAAAATGCTCTTGGACAAGCCGGATGCAGGGGCGCACACCTGTGATCCCAGCACTCGGAGGCAGAGGCAGGCGGATTTGTGAGCTTGAGACCAGCCTGGGCTACAGAGCAAGTACAGAACAGCCAGGGCTACACAGAAAAACCCTGTCTCAACCCCTCCTCTCAAAAAAACACCCTTGGACATATGGCTTACAAACACTCCCTTGTCTGAATGTTAAGTTCGATGGAAACAACTGTATACAAATTGAAACCAGTCTCATTTTTCAGAAAAATGAAGCAAAGCCAGAAAAATAGCTTGTAATCTTCTCTGAATTTCTCACACTAAATAAGCCAGTTAGACCATATTCCTCTCAAGAAACATTATATTATATTAATTCTATAGTATGATAAATTATAATAAATAGGTTTTTGGTTTTGTTGTCTACTTACAAAAAAAAAAAATGTTTGACCACTCTATATGCTTCTGAAACTTGCCATGCTTTCTACATTTGAAATTATACAATCAACTCTGAGCTGTTTATTGCAGAAGTTTTGAGACTTCGAAAGTTAGGATTAATTAGATTGCTATGATTTTAACAAGCTTGGATAAATACTGGTTTAAAATTGCAGAACTGTCTTAGGCTGTGGATGGCTAAGTAGAGGCACAGCCCTGGTGAGGGTCAGTAGAGTTCTGGGTTTTCCAGAATTGGAGTGCCGAGTGTCCTGTCTCTGCAGGGTGCTGATGTAAGCATGGCCAGCATCTTCAAGGTACTGGGTGTGGCTTGGGGACTGTGATTTTGATGAGCTAAGTGGGTGTCTTGCAAAAGACTCATGTGAGCGTCTTGGTGATGTCAGATTTCTCCATCATGTAAATTTAACTGTTAGTAATTATAGAATCTTAATTTTACCAGTAAGGAAAATAATCTGTATGTTTTCATTTTAAACAGTTCATGTTTCTATCAAACAGTTTGTTTGGCCTGGAAGGAATATCTGCTTTTAATTACGATAAAAACATAAGAGAAATTGAAATAGATAGTTAAAGCCTATCACAGTAACAAAAGTAACTCGATAAAACTGAAAATATTAGAAATTTCTCTAAGCAGCTTGACTTAGTAGTTTTGTTTGCTTGTTTGTGTGTTGTTCGAGACAGGGTCTCTCTGTGTCACCCCAGGCCAGCCTGGGCCTCGTGATCCTTCTGCCTCAGCCTCCCAGGTGCTGAGATGGCAGGTGCATGTTCTCAGGCCAAGCAGTGTGTTTCTTAAAGCATTTGTGTTAAAACTATGATCAGGTGGACATTGCTCATTTTATGAAAACCAGGTTGGAAGATGCACTTGAAGATGGCAGGACACCCACTCTGTCACAGCAGTGCTGTGGCCACATCTCATTTACTGTGTTTTTGTTCACAAATGGAATTGTTTGTATTTTCAGTGTTAATTTCTTAAGTGGATATAGTTGAAGAACAAACTTGTTTAATGTTTAAAATAAATGTACAGATTTAAATGAGTGGAACACGTCTATAAATAGGTTGTCGATGAGTACCCTTTTTTCCCTTAATTTAAAAAGTAGTATTTATTTATCTGAGAGGAGCTGTAACAGGAGGTCGTGGCTGGCTCTGCAGGCCAGGCTCTTCACTCAGTGTTGCTCTGACAGCCTTCAGGCTCGGCTGAGGGAAATGCTCTGCAGCCAGTGTTTACAGAACCCTCTGGCAGGCTGTCTCGTTTATATTCTGGAAAAGGTGACTTTCTAATTTATGTTTTCTGGGCACTGGAACATCAAGGTTATTTTGAAAGGAGGGGGGAAAGTGTTACTTCATCTTCAATATGTTTTAAAGTTAGGATTTTAGTTTCAGCGTTTTAATCTCCATTTTAGGGGTGTGTGTCCTATCCCCCCTTTTCTCTTTTAACTTTTGTTTTTCGAGCCTGGGCTTCTCTGTGTAGCCTTGGCTCTCCTGGACTCACTTTTTAGACCAGGCTGGCCTCGAATTCACAGAGATCCACCTGCCTCTGCCTCCCTGAGTGCTGGGATTATAGGCTCACAGCTTTCTCTTTTAACATACAGGACACCCTCTTTCCTGTAGAGCTGTGAATTGAGGAATGGGCGGAGTTTACATTCACACATAGCTGTGTCTGCCTAGTGTCTCCCTTCCTTTCCTCCCCCCTCCCCCCCCCCGTCCATTTTGAGATAGAGTCCCATGTAGTCCAAACTGGCCACAAACCCTCTCTGTAGCCCAGGTTGGCCTTAAACTCCTGATCCTTCTACGTCCACCTCATGACTGCTGGGATTACACTTACGCACCACTCTTCCCAGATTCTCCTCCACCCCACTTTTTAATTTATGTAACTTTTTTCTTAAAATATTAGGAAACGACATCCTTCCTAGTGCCTTTGAGCTGACCCTGCCGTTTGACCATTAGAATCAGTGAGAACCTGAATAGCATTACTCTATTGCTGTTACTGACCAGGATACAAACTCTACAGTAAGTTTGCCGTGTTAATTAAGAACCCACACTTGAGTTGTATTTTATGTATAAATTGTACTTGTTCAAGCTGTGTATATATATACATATACATATCAGTGTGCGTAATGCAGCGTGGTGAGATGAGAAATAAAATGCCTCCCCAGTGCCTACTGTCTTTTAGAACATCTTTATTCATTTGTATTTTGTTGTGTGTGAATGTCTGCCTGCACATGCGTGCACCACGTGTGTGCTGTGTGCCTGTGTTGACCAGAGTGTGTCGGATCCCCCGGAACTGGAGCTACAGTTATGAGCAGCCATATGTGTGGGAGGCAGGCTAAAGAAATTCAAAGCAAGCCTTGAGAAGTTTTGATTTAATGGCTAGTTCAAAGGACTTTTTTTTTTTTTTTGGAAGTTAGCATACGAAGCGCCTGAGTCTGATTATGTCATTTTCAGACCTCCGTCTCCTTAGACTTTCTTATTCGCCCCCTGCTTTCATTGTTGGTCTCTCCTTTACCCAAATCACTCCTCTGCTTACGTGCAAAGGATTCTTTCTGTTTGAATTTTTAAACACGGGGTTTGCTCCCTTCCCAGCCAGCAGCCTTTAGAGGACCTGCCTGTCAGGTGCTGTACACCCTGTCCTCTGAGCCAGACTGCAGCCATCTTTAGCAGTCCAGCTGGTCTTGACAGTCCCTGGGAGGAGGGCACACGAGGTGCCATCCCCAGCAGGGATGGTGTCTTCTCCATGCTGCATAGGTGGGACCATCTCTCTCCATCCTGCCCCGGCAGGGGCCAGTTAGGGAAGAATCACACACAACTGCCTGGGGGCAACGGCTGGACACAACATGCTCATCTCTAAAGCCGGGAGTATTGTGGGAAGAGGGTTTTGACTTTCCTTTCCCCTTCTCAAGATTGAGTTATTTTATGTGCTGGCATGATCTTCCTGCGTCTGTGTGCGTGTGCCTGGTACCTGCAGTTGTCATGAGAGGGCATCATGTCCCTCCGGACTGCAGTTGTGGACAGTTGAGAACCACCACGTGACGTGGGTCCTGGGAACCGCACCCCAGTCCTCTGCAAGAGCAGCAGGTGCACTTAAAGGCTGAGCCCTCAAGTTTTTCTTGATTGAATTGTAAGATGTAACGGTTGCCTCCTTTCCTTTTGCCTGGTGGACTCTGAATCACCATTTCCTAGTCCCTTTGTTCTTTGAGACTAATAACATTCGTTTTGGGGCTGCGTGTGTGTAGGTGCAGGCCTCTGTCTGCTCTAGGGCTCTGGTTAGGCTATGTTAGTGTACAGGCGATTCAGCTAACTGGCCTTCAGCGTCCTAGCAAGGTCTTCTGTCACCACCTGCTGCCACCTCCAGGTGTGCCAGGTGTGTGCAGAGGAGGAGGGTAAAAGGGCCCACCCACCACCACCCCAGCTCTCTTTCTCTGCCTCTGTTTCTCTGTGTTCCAGCTTCCTTCTGTCCCCATGTTCTCTCTTTCTCGTTCTCTGTCCTTCCCTGTCCTCAAGGCTCTGTCCCTGTCTGTCTGTCTACATATCCAGTCATCTGCCTCTACCTCTCCTCCTGGGGGCCCTAACTCCTTTCCCCCTCCCCTCCCCCAAATAAACTTCCTTATGCCAGGTATGTTGCATGGCGTAACCGTACAGCATTGGTGTCCTGACTCAGATTGGAACAGAGGTGGCTGTGGCCACAACACAGGGAACTAACCGCTGTGTTCACGGGAGCCGCACACCACCAACCTGAACTCACCCGATCTTGTCTGAGCAGGGTCGGGCCTGACTAATACTTGCATGGGGACCGCCTGGGGATACCGGTGCTGCTTGGTCTGAAGCAGCGGCAGGCTAGGCTGGCAGACCAGTGAGTTCCAGGGACACACTCGCTCCTTTCTCTGCC